TGTGACCGACCTGTAATACTTTTAGTGATCTTTAATCACGTCAGACAGAACGATAAGGCTGCCAGTGAGCCTTTCTGGACACAGAGGTTGGAATGCTGCATCAGACTTGCAGACCTTGTCCTGGAATACTGTCTGACTCTCAGTAGTATCTGAAGAATTGAGTGAAAATGAGGTTTGCCACTACCTGCACTTCTGTATTGTAACTTGTATTATCAGAATAGCACCACTGGAAATGGATCAATTTTATCTTCTCTCCCTCTGTCTCACAAATCATTGTGAGGTCGAATTGTTTCCCTACAATGGCTGCATGTGAAGCTTCCTTTTACCTTTTGTACTTTTTGTTCTTTTAGGACACACATTACCTTTTTTGCAGTTTTAATGTTAAATTGACTAGATTACCAAGAGGTGTCAATTGGAATTGGAGCCTCATTGCGTTAGACAGTCTTCAAACACTTAGCCCTGGTCTACACTACAGGATTAGGTCAAATTTAGCTGCGTTAGATCGATTTAAAAATGACTGCGTCCACACAACCAACCCCATTCTGTCGACCTAAAGGGCTCTTAAATCAACTTCTGTACTCCTCCCCGACGAGGGGAGTAGCGCTAAAATCGACCTTGCTGGGTCGAATTTGGGGTAGTGCGGCCACAAATCGATGGTATTGGCCTCTGGAGCTATCCCAGAGTGCTCCATTGTGACCGCTCTGGACAGCACTTTGAACTCTGATGCACTAGCCAGGTACACAGGAAAAGCCCCGGGAACTTTTGAATTTCATTTCCTGTTTCGTCAGCGTAGCGAACTCAGCAGCACTGGTGACCATGCAGTCCCCCCAGAATCGTAGAGCATAGAATGTTTCTACGCTCCCCCTATCATCTCCGTCCCTGAGGTTATCACAGATTAAAAGGCAGAAAAAAACAGTCGCGATGACATGTTTTCCGAGCTCATGCAGCCTTCCCATGCTGATAGGGCACAGCTTAATGCATGGAGGCATTTAGTGGCAGAGGCAAGGAAAGAATTTAGTGAGCGCGAAGAGCGGAGGCAGGACGCGATGCTGAGGCTAATGGGGGAGCAAACGGACATGATGACGAAGCGTCCGTTGGGGGAGCAAACGGACATGATAAAGCATCTCTTGGAGTTGCAGGAAAGCAGACAAGAGCACAGACCCCCACTGCATCCACCGTATAACCGCCTGCCCTCCTTCCCATGTTCCATAACTTCCTCACCCAGACGACCAAGAACGCAGGGGGAGGCTCTGGGCACCCAGCCACTCCACTCCAGAGGATGGCCAAGCAACAGAAGGCTGTCATTCAAACAGTTTGATTTTTAGTGTGGCTACAATAACTAATGTGGCCTTGTCCTTCCCTTCTCCCCCACCCCACCCGGGCTACCTTGTCCGTTATCTCATTTTTTTAAAATTAATAAAGAATGCATGGATTCAAAACAATATTTACTTTATTTTGAAGGGGAGGAGAGTGGTTGGCTTACAGGGAATTAAAATCAACAAAGGGGGTGGGTTTGCATCAAGGAGAAATACATACAACTGTCACACCGAAGCCTGGCCAGTCATGAAACTTGTTTTCAAAGCCTCTCTGATGCGCAGTGCGCCTTGCTGTGCTCTTCTAATCGCCCTGGTGTCTGGCTGCTCAAAATAGGACACCAGGCAGTTTGCCTCCATCTCCTACCCTGCAATAAACGTCTTCCTCCTTACTCTCTCCGATATTATGGAGCACACAGCAAGCAGCAATAACAATGGGCATGTTGGTTGCACTGAGGTCTGACCAACAGTGCCAGCGAGCTTTTCAACGTCCAAAGGCACATTCTACCACCATTCTGCACTTGCTCAGCCTGTAGTTGAACTGCTCCTTACTACTGTCCAGGCTTCATGAGTCATGGGAGCAAGGGGTAGGCTGGGGTAGGTGCGACCGCGCGGTGCTGCCAGCTGGGAGAGCAGCCTGAGGCAGAAGCCTCCAGCTCAAAACAGCAGCGATGACGGTGAGCTGAGTGGGCTCCATGCTTGTGGTGCTATGGCATCTGCACGGGTGACCCAGGAAAAAAGCGCAAAATGATTGTCTGCCGTTGCTTTCACGGAGGGAGGGGCGACTGACGACATGTACCCAAACCACCCGCGACAATGTTTTTGCCCCATCAGGCATTGGGAGCTTAACCCAGAATTCCAATGGGCAGTGGAGACTGCGGGAACTGAGAGAGCTACCCACAGTGCACCACTCTGTAAGTCGATGCTAGCCACGATAGTGAGGACGCACTCCATTGATTTAATGCGCTTAGTGTGGACGTATGCAATCGACTGTATAAAATCGACTTCTATAAAATCGACCTAATTTCGTAGTGTAGACATACCCATAGGAACGTGTGGTCCCTGTCCTGACTAGCCAGTCCATTTACTTAAAATGGGGGATACCACTAATACTAGTATTGTGTTTTCTAGAGGTAAACTGAAAGTTTCAAAGTGCAGCCTCTTTACCCATAAGTATATGTTGCCTAAGCCAAGACTACCGTAAGAGGGTCAATATCACCATCAGACTACTCCAAATCCATTCACCAGACTTGTCCTCCCTTACAAGTCTTGGATCCTGCTGAAATGTTTTCACTGCAATCACAGGCCTAATAGCTGTATGTGCAAGTGTGGTTAGGGAAAACCGATACTGTGATTGCTCTGAACAGCCAATGCAGCATAATCATCATTTACCAACTGTTAACACACCGTGGTGTTGTATTTTGTTACTCTGTGAACAGAGATAAATGCAGTATGGCAGAGACTATGAATTTAATAAAAGTTGATGACTTAATGGCAAGCCAAACGTTATGGAGGATGTCATAAATCCCCAATTTGATGGTGGAATAGTGCACATATATAAAGGGGGCTAGGAAGTGAAACTGTTTCTGCAAAATTGAGTTACTTTGGATTTGTGGTGAAGGATAAAAATACATTTTACTTAAACCTTGGAAGAATGGTTGCAAATATTAGAAGAAACCATAAAAAAACAAGTAACCCTGAATCTCTTGGCAGCAGATAAATTTGTATTTGGAAACACCGTTGTCCTTCTAAAAAAATCTTGTAATAAATAAATTACAGTACAAAAATTGTGCTGGCAATACAATAAATAAAAGATGTTTGGTTTTATTTTGTGCATCTGCTAAAACGCCAGTAGAAAGGGAAGGAATGTTAGTCATTCTGGACTGGGTAATGATGGAGCCTTTATCGCTGAGCTGGAATGTAGTTATGCAGTAAGAATAAAAGCAAATTTGACATAGTTTGTGTACATTTGTCTCTTTGTTGCCACTTGTAAGCACTGAGGTGCTTACAATTGGCATTTACTTTTGTGATGATATTTCACTCCTTTTGAACGTTTGCAAGATTATTTCATTTTACCAGGTTTTCTTAAGGTAGATAAAAAGGTTTAGCTTTCATTAGATTTATTCAGGTTTGCTATTAAACTTCAACTGGAGCAACAAAGCTTTCATAGGCAGGCATGACATTTTGGCAGAGACCCAATAGGATACGTGGTCTGTGCCAAATCTTTTATTTTCTTCGGCTATCAATGAAGCTGTTGTGGTAATGTGGGTTTTGTGAACTGTGAGAATTTATGTGCACAAAGGGACTTGCTCTTTGCAGGGAACATTGGGAGCCCTGAGCCCAAGAGGAAGGGTAATTAAAGTTAATGAACCAGGATAACCTTTTCATGGTGATGCCCACTAGCACAATTATAGACAAGGGTCAATAGCCATTTAAATTCTATATCACATTTTTAACTGTGCTGTTTAATTGGTACCAGATTGAAAGTTGGCAGACAGTTGTTATAGTAAACTAGTGCATAATTTTTTAAGAAAAGTACTTAAGTGAATACTTAAAGGGTTCTGAAAGCTTTCCCTCCCCCCCCAATTAGAAATACTCTTAAATTTTGAGAAAAATAAATTTGAACTCTAGTTCACTAATCAATTTGTTTTTTGGTATTAAAATCAAATTTTCTTTTGAGAAGATCTGAGACTTCAAAGCTACCAAGCCAGTACACTAGATGCTTCCTACTCCTCTTCTTATCAGAGCATTGAGATTCTTTTTCACTTCTCCTTTGCGCAGAGACTCTATGCCTCTCACGCCCAGAAGCTTCATTCAGTTATATCTGAGCATGACTGTCTGGGACACCTGTTGGAGACCGTTATGTTGGTCATTAATTGGTTGGTGGGGTCATAGTTTTAATATGCCTCATACTCTGACATTTAACTCTTGATGGGTAGCAAGCTCTGGAGGAATGGGCTTGGAACTTGAAGTCATGGAATTTTCTGGCTCTGCTACTAACTTGTTTTTGTGGCTTTCCTCACTTGTCAAAATCTGAGGACTTCATAAATTGTAATTACCTCACTGTTAAGGGAATTAGTCTGCCCTTTTGTAAAACAGATATAAGCTAGAACATTTGTAACTGTGAGTCAATATCGAATAGCAAGCCTGCCAGAGCTTGGAATAGAACCCAATCTCCGGTTCTAGTTGATAGCCTGCACCACATCCCATACAAAATCCCAACACCCTGTTGAACAAGCTGTACTTATTCACAGTACCCTGAACATGAATATTGGTTGAATTTTTTTTGTCCTTTTCTCCAGTACTTTTACAGTGAAATACTGGATTTGATTCTCCCTTCTGAGAGAGAGAGAGAGACATTATAAATAAAATCCGAATAGCCTAGAAAATCAGCTGTATATCTAAGGGCACTGTGTCAAGCCACTCTGAAAACCTAAATTATTAGATAAACCACCACCTTTCCATTGCTCTTTCAATTAACCGGTGAGAGAGAATTGCATTCAGAAAGGAACTGGCTTGAAATTAGTACCAGTTTCCATGTCCACTGACTTATAAATTGATTAATTCGTGCTGCCTTTTCATCCTAGGTAGATCATAAGTGTGTTTTAAGGTCATGCCTCTTCAAGGCATTCAAATTAACTGGTCTTGTGTTTTTTAAAATCCATGTATGTTCTTTCATTTTTATAGAAACTGTTTATTTGTTTGGTGGCTGGGATGGGACTCAGGATCTGGCTGACTTCTGGGCATACAGTGTGAAGGAAAACCAGTGGACCTGTATATCTAGAGATACTGAAAAAGAGGTAAGTTCACCAAACATTCATATTACTAGTATCTGATTAAATGTATCACCTGTACAGTTACAAAATTCGTCATGCTTCTGTAATACTTGTGTTAGAGTATTGCTTGCATTAAGATTAAGATTTCAGATGCTGAAGTTCTACTGGACTTTTGAAGTGCTTATATTGGGAGAATGTGAAATAAAGTGGCTTCTCAGTCTCAAATACTTTTCAGAGTAGAGGAGGGAAGAGGTTGTTTTATTTGTCAATAGCAGAATAACCCACAAGTTAGAGAGACAAGATGGGTGAGGTGTAATATCTTTTATTGGATCAACTTCTGTTGATGAGAGAAGCAAGACTTTCCAGCTACACATCTTTTGTTCAGGTCTGGGAAAGGTACTCAGAGTGTCACAGCTACATAAAAGATTGAACAGATAGTTTAGCATAAGTAGTTAGCATATATGGGGGGAGGGATAGCTCAGTGGTTTGAGCATTGGCCTGCTAAACCCAGGGTTGTGAGTTCAATCCTTGAGGGGGCCACTTGGGGATCTGGGGCAAAATCAGTATTTGGTCCTGCTAGTGAAGGCAGGGGGCTGGACTCCATGACCTTTCAAGGTCCCTTCCAGTTCTAGGAGATGGGTTATCTCCATTAATATGGTTATATTCAAGGTGATGTGGCCTGTTAACACCTCTTTAGTCATAGGACAAAAAGGCGGGTTGATGGGCTACAGATTGTTGTAATAATCTGTAAATCCAGGGTCTTTATTAAAACCATGATTTTGAATTTAAGCTCCCAGTCTTATCTTTTGAAAGTGTTGGGCAGGTTTCATTTGAGGATGACATAAAGGTCAGATATAGAGTGATTGCTTTGTGAAAAGTGTTCGCCCAGAGGTGATGGGTGTTTTTGTCTTTTATCATGTTCCTATGTGAGTTCATTTGAGAGCGTAGAGATTGTCTGTCTGGTTTCGCCCACATAGTTGTTGTTGGGGCATTTAGTGGACCGCATGAGGTACACCATATGTTGTGATAGGCATGTGTAGGACCTATGGATCTTGAAAGATGTGTTCAGAGGGGATGCTGATCTTTGTAACAGTGGAGATATGTCTGTGGGTTTTGTATCTGTTCTGGCAGGGTCTGGTCCCATTTTGAGCTGGTGTGTCCTGGTCTGTGGAGAGCTTGCTTTTGATGATGAGGTTGGGGGTTGTTTGCAGGCCAGAAAGGTGTGTGTGTGTGGGAGGATTGGGGGGTTCAGGGAAGATTTATTTTAGGATAGGGTCCCCGTTGAGTATTGGCTGTAGTTGTTAGATGATACCCGTTTGGGTTCCAGTGTGGGGTGGAAGATGAGTACTAAGGGTGGGTGATCGGATGGGATTTTATGTTTGTATTGAAGCAGGTTCTCTCAGGGTATTTGGGTGGCTCCTTCAATGATGCAATCTGCTTCTCTGGTGGAGTGTTCTTGTTTGGTAAAGGTGGTTTTGAGTATGTTTAGGTGTATATCCTGGACTTTCTCCTCAGAGTATATTCTGTGATATCTGAGTGCCTGGCTGTAGATAACAGATTTCTTGGTGTGTTTTTAGGGTGGTTACTTGGTCTGTGAAGGTAGGTGATCTGAGGGATTTTTTGTATATAATTGTCAGTAGGGTTTGATTGTTGAAGCTGATCGTGGTGTCCAGGAACTGAACTTGATGCTGGTGTGGGAATGTTCCAGAGAAGAGTTTAATGCACGGGTGGTGGTTGTTGAAGTTGTGGTGGAAATCTGTGAGGAAGTTTGTCATCAGTCCAGTGGATGAAAACATCATTGACGTATTTATACAATGTGTGTGTATATATATAATTGGTTTTGTGGTGCTTTTGTCTAGAAATTCTTCTTCATACAAAAAGATAGAATTCAGCAGGTAGCATGTGTGGAAATAATTTGACAGCACTGAACAAGCAGTCTGCCTAATGTCACATTCCAATACTGGTTCTGAAGCTACATCAGTACAGAAATAACTTGTTACTTTCTTCAGCTTCTCTCAGCTACAGAAATAAAAGGGACACTTAAAAATTTGAACCTAACTAAAAGGCTTTGGAATCCTAAGAGCTTTAGTGTTTTTGCTTGTACCATGACCTTCAGCCTGTTTTGCTTTATATTTGATGCATGAAGCTTTTGGAGCTGCTGCAGTTTGAGCTAGAAGGAAGCAACAAAAAGATTTATAGATTCATAGTTCAAGGCCAGAGGGGACCTTTAGATCATCCAGTCTGACTTCCTGTATATCACAGGCTATTACCTTTCACCCCGTTACCCCTGTACTAAACCTAAGTATTTGCGTTTAGATAAAGTGTATCTTCCAGAAAGGCATCCGTTGTTGATTGGAAGACATCAAGAGATGGAGAATCCACCACTTCCCTTGTTTGTTCCAATGGTTAAAAATGTGTGCCTGGTTTCTAATGTGAGTTTGTTTGGCTCTAACTTCCAGCCATTGTTTTTCTTTTCTAAAAATCCCTTTAGCCCCCAGTATTTTCTCCAGGTGATGGTTCTTATGCACTGTAATGAAGTCACCTCTGTTGTCTCTTTGATAATCTAAACAGATTGAGTTTTTTTGTAAATCTTCTGCTGTAAGGCATTTTTTTCCAGTGGTGGAATCAATTTCGTGGCTCTCAGTTGGACTCTCGCCAATTTTTAAACATCTTTTTTCAAAATATGGACACCAGAACTGTACACAGTACTCTAGTATCAGTCTCACCAGTGCCTTATACAGCTCCCTACTCCTACTTGCAACTCCTTGTTTATACATCCGAGGATCACATAAGCTCTGTTTGCCATAGCATTGCTCTGAGAGCTCCTGTTGAGAAGCTTGCCCATTATAACTCCTAAATCCTTTTCAGAGTCACTGTTGTCCAGGATACAGCCCCCCATTCTGTAGTTATGGCCTGCATTCCTTGTTTCTACATGTATAACTTCCCATTTGTCTATACTGAAATGCGTTACCTCTGGTGCATCATGGTTCGCATACTTGTGCGACCCAACTGAAGATAATGAGGTTTCACAGGCATGGGCATAAATACCAGGCGGGATTGGTGAATATCTTTCATACTCACCCCTTCTCCCCCCGCCCCCCAAGTTTTGGTGGGCTGTAAAGGGGAGGGTGTGAAAGCAGTAGAGGGGGCAGAGAAGAGATTCAGAGGTTGCTTTTTGCAGCAGTGCTCAGCATTCTATTTCTCCCCTCTTTCCTCCTGCCAGCTGCTGATTAGCTATTAATAGCTCAATAGGCAGGATGTAGTTGCTGCCTTGTGCTGTGGGAAGGGAGGGATGGGTGGAAAGTATGCCATGTCCTCTTGCTGGACAAATAGGAGTTTATAGCTCTGGTTCATGCTTGCACTGGGCTCAGTTCCTTCGTTCCTTCTTTGTTTGGACACCATTCCTCCCGGCTTTGAGCATCCACAGGGCAAGAGGGCCCTGCTGGAAAATGATAGAAGCTGCTGCCCTAGCCAGTGCTCCTCCACTTCCCCTTTCTCGCCTTAGCGGGTGAGGCAGGAGGAGCCTAGGAGGGGCACTGATATGGATGGTGGACACTAGGTGGTGACAAGGTACTAAGGGATAGCTATGGGAGGACAGTCCCTAGGAAACCGTTGAGATGACAGGCAGTAGCAGTGCTAGGTGCTAGGGGGAAGCTACTGAGGAAAGGGAAAACAGGGCAGAATATAGAAGAGGGAAAGGAGACAGGTGCAAAAAACAGTTTGAGGAGAAAAGTAAGGGTTTGGGGATGAGCGAGAGAGAATCAGGTAAATTTGAGGAAAGGGAGAGACTAGGGGAGTGTAAGGAGGATGGATCTTGGAAAGGAGTGACTGTTTTTTGGGGGTTAATCAGAAGTAAGAGGAGAAAAATGGCTTGGGAGAGAGAGGAGACATTAGGGTAGTTTATGGGGAAATCTGGGAAGACTTCACACAAAGTCTTGAGGGGAATTTGAAGCAGAGGGAGGTTTACAGTGTGTGGGGCTTTTATTGATTATTGAAAGGGGGCATATTCAGAATTCAAATATAATATACTGTCAGTATGTACTATATATTATATGTACTTACGCACTAATAATGCCCTTCTTTCTTATGAACGATGGGTAAAACGAGTGAAAAATGGAAAGGTTAGAATCTCAACTGGATAGGTACGCTAAAGAAAACACTCCAGATATTCCTCTAACAAGAAGGTCAGAATATTCATAAACAAGTCGCTATAAGGAATAATCTGACATGGAATTGCTGAAAATATTCAAATAGATCCCAAGAGAACTTAAAATCTTATTTTCTCTTCATATTGTAGTATGTATGTATTTTATTTCTATGCCTTTAGTGCTTATTAATTTGGCACTGGTTTAGCTATTCACACTAAATAATTAAAATGTTAAGCTAAAATATGAGCAGAATGCAATAAACATATCCCCATTTATCCAATATAATCTCAAGGGTAATACAAAGTAACCAGTACTAGGACAAAGAGGTGTAACTATAGGGGAGACAGTAGTGGTCCATATACACCTCTGCCTCGATATAACATGAATTATGATATAATGCAGTAAAGCAGCGCTCCGGGGGGGGGCAGGGGGCGCACTCCGGCGGATCAAAGCAAGTTCGATATAATGCGGTTTCACCTATAACGCGGTAAGACTTTTTGGCTCCCGAGGACAGCGTTATATCTGGGTAGAGGTGTATTTAGGTTGCCTAGCGTTTTTTATGAAAGATTGTATCTTTTTTTTTTAAATAAGAAGCTGTATTGGCTCAATTGTTTGCAGCAGTCCTTTGAAATTCATTAGTGAGAGAGCCGTCAGGCTAGAGAAATGCCTTTTCTTTGTCCCATTAAATTCCATTCATGTTTAGCTGAGTTACAAACTGTTGAAAATTGTATTCGATGGCTGGCGCAGTCAGCAAAATTTGGGCGCCTGGCCAAAATAACAGAACATTAATGTTTTAAAGCATTAGACCCACACAGGAACACGGCAGCAGTAGATGATACTGTGCTCAGAATTTGGGGAGTAGACAAGCAAGCTGTT